GAGCAGGGAGCCCGATGTGGGACTCGATCCCAGGACCCTGGGACCATGACCTGAGCCGAAGGCAGACGCTTAACGACTGAGCCACCCAGGCGCCCAAGTTGCCAGATTTTTAAAAACCCTCTATTGGCTTTGTCTTTTTCCCTGTCTCACTTCCCCACTCCTCTACTAGTGCTCCCTCGTATTACATTTAAATAAAGTACATGATTTGACACCGTTTTCTCAGGGTCTGCTTACTGGGGAATAAAAAATATGTGCAGAAAAAGTATTTCTAAGAGAACTGATTTTCCTCCATAAGCACTGGTTTTACCTTCATGGAACATCCCTTCACATACATATTATAGTTGCCTCCTCCTAACCATCTTGATTTCAGTCTTTTCTGGTACTAACAGATCATACATACAGAAAGCTATGGACAGAAGCCTAAAAGGGAAGAAAAAATGCTCATGGAAAAATTATGGCATCATTACTTACTCTGAAGAAAAATAATTATTAATAAAATAATAAACTTAATTTTTGAAAATACCTGAGTTTTTTTCGGAGTCGCTCAATTTCCACATTTTGTTCAGTTACTGTTTTCAGAAACTGTTGGTTAGTCTGCCACAAGAAAAAAAAATAGAAACATTCAGTATTAGAACACTTAAAACTACATCTTTAAAGATTAACTGTAGGGTATATAAGTAGAAAAAAACGGAGTCATGATAATGATTAGAGTTTTTGACAGTAAAATATAACCTTGGCAATCCTTCCTTGCCTTCACTTTACTACTTCAGTGGACACCTGCTTCACTTCAAACTACCTGCAACTGCTTTTTGATGTCTATGGTTTTCCTTGGCCATTCAAGCCTTCTTTGTTTACCTAACTGCACAGAAGATGACAGGTGCTGTAGAATTCATGTCCCCAGCCTGTTCTGGAAGAGCTGGATAACAATGACTGAAGAGAACTGGTGTGTAAATATCCCAAACTCCTCCTGTGCCCCATGATGGAGTAAGTCTGAGCCTGTTCTACACTGGCTTCCAGAGTCCACTGGTAGGATTAAGTTTCAGTTACCCAAGGTATTAATTTGCATGATTGTTAGAAACCCTTTGGCTGCCTTCTTTTCTCTTCCCAGTCTCACTTCCTCATTCCCCTACTGGTGCTCCTTGGTATTATCTCCTAAATAAATGACATGCATTAGAATCCTTTTCTCAGGGTTAGCCTGAGAAGGAACCTAACAGAAGATACTGAGGCAGTCTTCGAAGTGTAGAAAAAATTTTTCTAAGGGAATTGATTTTCTTCTCTAAGTGATGATTTTACCATGAAGGCACAAAATCCTTATCCTTATCATCTTTATCTATATACCTATGGGCAATGTTATTTAGACTATAGTTACCTCCTAATCGACAGTCTTGATTTCAGTTTTTTCCTATCCCAACAGATCATGCATACATCTTTCCAACTGCCTCTCCCGGAAGCAGTTTTCATTGTGCTTCTCTCATACTCTACCCAATCTTACGGACTTCATATTTTTAATACACTATTTTATTTCCCTCTGGAATTGGAATTCGATTCTGCCATCATCCATTCACTTTAAGACAGAAGTAATTGTTTCCTTTCTGCACTCTGATAAAACTTTATATGTACTTTTACAATGCACGCTGCATTATATTCAAACACTAAATTTAAAGTTCATAGCTACAATATGAGCCATTTTTTGAAGACTACCTTCTCCCAGAATTTCCAGTCACTGGCACATGATTTAATGTATTCTAAGTACTTACACCTTTAAGGAATAAATGAATGAATGCCTCCAATGAAACATAAAGAGAGACTGAAGACTGCATTTTTATCTTTATTTTGGGAAGCAGACTATTGCAGACCAGAATTTAGTGTTCAATTCACAGACCACTATTTATTTATTTATTTATATTTTTAAAGATTTTATTTATTTATTTGACAGAGAGAGAGAGACAGCGAGAGAGGGAACACAAGCAGGGGTAGTGCAAGAGGGAGAAGCAGGCTTCCCTCGGAGCAGGGAGCCCGATGCGGGGCTCGATCCCAGGACTCTGGGATCATGACATGAGGCGAAGACAGACACTTAACGACTGAGCCACCCAGGCACCCCTCACAGACCACAATTTAAAAGACCGACTATCACATGCAGGGAAAGAAGGCCAGATAATGAGAGGTAGGCAAATTATACCATACCAGAATAGTTTAAAAAAAAATTGGGTGCAACACTGGGCATGAATCAGGAAAGACATAATGCTTGCAACGCAAATAAACTAAAGGGTTGATTTGAAGACATGAGCTTCTTCTGTTACTCCAAAAGATGAAACCATGTATCAATGGGAGGAAATTTAACAAGATTTTAGCTTTCTTTCTTTCTTTTTTTTAAGATTTTATTTATTTGAGAGAGAGAGGATGAGTGGGGGGAAGGGGCAGAGGGAGAAGCAGACTCCCTGCTGAGCAGAGAGCCTGATGCAGGGCTATGTCCCAGGATCCTGAAATCATGACCTGAGCGGAAGGCAGACAATTAAGCAACTGAGCCACCCATGCCCCAGATTTTAGCTTTCTAATAATCAGAATTCAAAGGAACAGACTCTTTGAGGAAGTGATAAATCTCTTACAGGGAATAGTTAAAGAAGAGGCTAATGATCATCTAACTGAAAAGCATTTAATAAAAGGATGCCTATATCATTTGAGGAAATAGATGACCTTTAATATCATTTCAAATTCTCCTGTGAAATTATCAGTGACTTCAGTCCAAAGTGATTCACAGCTCTGAATTCTTTTGTGTCTGTAATGTACTGTTAATGTTTTATTATATATACTGTCTTGGCTCTAATATAAATAATGCTTGTGTTTTTTACCATTTGGGAGCACCCTAAAGGTAAATGATTTAGAGTGATTAGGAAAAGTATAAATTGGAATTGTGAATTTTAAAAAACCTAGTGTTAGGAACTAACTTGTTAGCAAGCCTAGTAGGGCTCAACGACTGCATCTGAATATGGTGTTCTCTGTCATTACAAAGAAAATTATATGCTATATTAACATTCTAGAATTTGGAGATTCATAAAGGTCCAGGGAACCATCCCTTTCAATCACTGATCATGATTACTTCATATATCATCCCTGTTTTACCAAGTAGGACACGAGTTTGTGGATATATGCACATTTCTCTTGCAACTAGAGAATCTTTAATAGTGAAAGGAACTTAATATGCAATTAGAAAATATTTTTGACATCAGACGAGATCGGGCACGTTCAGGCTGGTATATCACAGACCTGTACCTCTGAAACAAATAATACCTTATATGTTGAAAAAAAAAAAAAAAAGAAGATAGTGGGCAGGGAAAAATGAAGGGGGGAATCAGACGGGGAGACGAACCATGAGAGACTATGGACTCTGAGAAACAAACTGAGGGTTCTAGAGGGGAGGGGGGGTGGGAGGATGGGTTAACCTGGTGATGGGTATTAAAGAGGGCACGTATTGAATGGAGCACTGGGTGCTATATGCAAACAATGAATCATGGAACACTACATCAAAAAATAAATAAATTAAAAAAAGAAAAGAAAATATTTTTGAGTAATTTTACAGAGATGAACAAATCTCAAAAAAGAATATGATTTCAGTAAAGATAATCTCTAGGAAATGTAAACTCCCATTTTATCTATAGCCATAGTAAATAAACTTGTACTTTCATGTACCATTCACATCAGGGGATTCTACCTTCTGTAGGTTACAAATGTGCATTGGTCATGAAGGATATTTACTTCTGTACACTCATCAAATGATTGTACATCTATAGGGACCTATTCACTTAATCAGCTTATTCGTGAAATCAGAAAACTTTTTAATGAGTACTTTTCTTCAAGTTTGATTTTGACTCAAACTTGCTCCTGCGACTATTCTCTGAATGCTCTTTGAGATGCACAAGATCTTTATAATCACTTAACTGTGTCCCTTCACATTTAGCAGTCTTGTTTGATACCCAGTAAGTACTTTATTTTTTTTTTTAATTTTATTTATTTGACAGAGAGAGACAGAGAGAGAGGGAACACAAGCAGGGGGAATGGGAGAAGGAGGAGCAGGCTTCCCGCCAAGCAGAGAGCCCGATGCGGGGCTCGATCCCAGGACCCTGAGATCATGACCTGAGCCGAAGACAGACGCTTAACGACTGAGCCACCCAGACGCCCCCCCAGTAAGTACTTTAAAAAAATGCTTAAGTTTTGGGGCACCTGGGTGGCTCAGTCGTTAAATGTCTGCCGTCGGCTCAGGTCATGATCACAGGGTCCTGGGATCGAGCCCCACATCGGGCTCTCTGCTCCAAGGGGAGCCTGCTTCTCCCACTCCCCCTGCTTGTCCTCCCTCTCTCACTGTCTCTATCAAATAAATGGATAAAATCTTTAAAAAAAAAAAAGCTTAAGTTTTAAAATTTCTCTTACCATATTCCTTTATTTTAACCACCAGCATAGTCTTTTTGTTCTTTACAACACGACTCTTTCATCCATCTTGTCACTTCTTTATCACTTTTATTGTACCCATCACTTCCTATTCTTAGTTTTGGCTAAAATCTGTGAATTCTTGTGCCTTAGAAATTTTAATTTTTTTTCCTATGAATACTCAAATATTCGTTTCCCCTGACTTTCATCAGAATGATTTGGGGTTGCTTATATCAAAATAGGGTCTCTATGGTATAAGATACCAAAGGATTATATAATCCCTGCAATTCTAAGAGATATACTGAAAGAACGAATAATTGTTATGTGAGGTTAAGCTATTAATTTCATGCAGAAATATGATTTAATTATGGATATCAGTCATTTTGTTTTGGAGTACTTTAATACTATTTAAAATGTCTAAGAAGTATATTAGCAAAAATTTTAAGTAATTAGAAGTAACAAGTGAAATAAGGTGAAATTTAATAATTTTTTACATAGTTAAAAGAGAAAATTTTGAAAAGTAGAAAAAAATTGGATAATTTACTTTTGATGGCACAACTCCACTCCTAAACAAAGACAGTTTCATTAGGTACTAACAAGAATGAAGAAGGATGAAGCAAAATGAAGAAAGGAAAGAGAGGAATTACCTGGATGTCATAATTGTATTACTCAACAATGAGGTAAAATAAAATTCCAAAAAGAAAGGAAAAGGAGAGAAAAGAAAAAAAGAAAAGTGAGAGGAGAAAAAAGGTAAAGAGCAGAACTAGGAAGGCTAATTATCACATTTCTTTTAGAAAAAAATTAAAGGGAAATTTGGATGTATCAATTAATACTGATGTCCAGTCAACTAACAAATGATTCTTAAGGTCCTATTATTTTTAAGAAACTGGGCTATTCATTTAACAGTTCCACAATTCTTATCATATACCTACCAGCATACTAAATGAAATACTAAGAATAAAGCATGAGTTCTACTCTTGAGAAGCTCACAGTCTAGATTACTCTCAAGAGATCCTACCGAGGACCCTGAGATTACTAATAGATTAGGTGATATTTCAGAAAGATGTTAGCTTTAGATCTCTAGTAAGTATTGTGAACATTGTCATGCTACTGAATGTGAAAGGAAAAGACAGATAAAGAGAAAAGAGTACCACCTACTTATTTTCATTTCACATACATGGGCTTTTTTGTTATTGATTTTTATTAGCATAAATAAATATTAAAGTCACAATCTGTTTATATCAAGTACACTAAACGGATATTTTCACTTAACCATTTCTATGTTCTCATTAGTTACATGAAGTTGCCTGGTCAATTGTTGAAAATTGGTCAATTGATCCTACAGTAGGAAGGTAGAGGTGTACATGAACAGCATTCTGTTTACAACCCATATGTAAAATTAACCTAAAATCAAGTCTAAAATCATTATGACTAAGTCTAGATGAACTTAGTTGTCTTCTGTTATTGTGTGAATTAACAATTGAAGAAATAAGTTTTTTTTTAAATGACTACAAAATTAAGTAAGGTGACAATGTAGAAACAAATGTGGCTATTTATGTTTTATGTAAGGCCATTATTTCTAGAAATCATTCTATTAGAAATAGACATGCTGGAGAGACATTGTACAATATTGAAAAACTACATTCAAACTGACTCAAAAACTACAATATAAACCCTGGCACAGAAATTATTGTTTCTCTCTCCCCTTCTTAAAAGTCTCATAGCTTGAAAGCCCAAGTTTCAAACTGTGTGATTATCTGTTATGATCCTACTAAACACTGTATGTGCAGGTGACACAAAGCTGGAAGGGGCTATTAATATGTTGGATGACAGAATTAAAGACTGACAGATAACTGGAGAAATAAGGACAAAGTATTATTTGTAAAGGCTTATACAAAAAAACCTAACTGCATAGCTACAGTACAACAATAAAGGTGAAAAAAATACCACAGGACTTAGTTGATTGACCTAAATGGGGAAACAGCCTCAAAGAACTTACTTTTTTTAGAAATAGTTTCTTAGATCTCACAGGTAAAAGCCTTTTCTTTTTGATAAAATGCCATGTGTGTATGTGTGTGTGTGTTTTTAAAAAAATTTTTAAATTTGAGTATAGTTGACATACAATGTTATATTAGCTTTAAGTGTACAACATAGTGATTCAACTTCTCTATACATTATGCTATGACTCACTGCTAGTGTAGTTACCATCTGTCACCATACAATGCTATTACAATATCATTGACGATATTCCCTATATTATGCCTCTTATTCCCATGACTTACTCATTCAATATCTGGAAGCCTATATCTCCTACTCACTCCCCTTCACCCATTTTGTCCATTCTGCCCATTCCTCCTCCCTCAGAGGTAAAGGTCTTGCCCAGACTACATATAGGTTATTTTCTTTTTTTTTTTTTAAAGATTTTATTTATTTATTTGAGAGAGAGAGAATGAGAGAGCACATGAGAGGGGGGAGGGTCAGAGGGAGAAGCAGGCTCCCCACTGAGCAGGGAGCCCAATGCGGGACTCGATCCCGGGACTCCAGGATCATGACCTGAGCCGAAGGCAGTTGCTTAACCAACTGAGCCACCCAGGCGCCCCATATAGGTTATTTTCAAACCAGGGCATATATAGAAAAATCATTTTGTAAACTGCAAAGCGTCATGTAAGTATTATTATGACTCCTTTAGGTAGAAATTCCCAATTATGATGATAGTAATAGGAACATTCATAAACTGGATTTGAAAAGTCCATAAATGAGAATTGAAGTAAGGAGTGATAACCAATGTATTTAAACATCTGCCTTCTCAAAATCCATAGAAAAGGAATCAGAATTTGGACTACTCCATAGTTTTCAATGTTCCCAGAAGAAAAAGAACCAATGGAAGGATCAAGGAGGCAGATTTTTCAATGGAATGGATCGTCTTCTGAGATAATAAGTTCTTGTCAACAGAGGTTTACAGCAAAAGCTTAGATGTCCACTTTGAAAGAATACAACTTCATTCTAGCTCTGAATAGAAAGAATGCCTTAATAACCAATAAGATCTCTTCCTATTGTAAAATTCTATTCTGATTAATTTATGCTAAATACACTTGACATCCATTTTATTTTATTTTTAAGATTTTATTTATTTGACAGAGAGAGCTAGCGAGAGAGGGAACACAAGCAAGGGAAGTGGGAGAGGGAGAAGCAGGCTTCCCGCTGAGCAGGGAGCCTGACGTGGGGCTCGATCCCAGGATCCTGGGACCATGACCTGAGCTGAAGGCAGACGCTTAATGGCTGAGCCACCCAGGTGCCCCCACTTGACATCTATTTTAGAGATAACTTTAAGAGTGTTAACATTTTCACTTCACATGGTGTTGTCATTATATTTGAGCAGGTTTCTTCACTGGCCATAATCTAATGAATAGTTCCTGTCATAAGCCAATATAAAAGCTTTGGGGGTCCATTTATACAGAATCATCATATAGCTGCTTCTTAGAACTAAATATAGCTTTCATTGATAATCACATTATAAAACCTAATGTATAGCAGGCATTGCTGTAACTGTCCAAGAAATTTCTAACCAGCAAAGATCTATTTAACATACATAACACAGTAGACACTTAGGCATTCCTCTTCAAAACAGAGTTTCTCAAGAATGAAGATATACATGAAAACTGATATACAAGAAAACCATGAAACCCAAGATTACCTTTTGTTTTTGACTTTCAACTACATGAATCTGGGCCTCAGTCATATGTTCCTGGTAAAGTCTCTGAAGTCTGTCCAGCTCCTGAGAAACAGTCTGCCAGAGTTCCACAGCCTGAGTTTTTTCCTATAAAACAAAAAGAATCAAGAATTCATTAAATTATTAGCAGGCTATTGCATAGTACAAATGAATCATACTCGTTTACAGAATGAATTCTTGTATATAAAGTCACAAAAATAAAAATGGAACTTGGGTAAAGATGGTATAGTTGTAATATTTCTGATGTTATACACTTGATTAATAACAATTCAGAGAAGGGGAACTCAGCTGATTAAGCACCTGACCTTTGATTTTGGCTCAGGCCAATCTCAGGGATGTAAGACAGAGCCCCGCATTGGGCTCTGTGCTGAGTGTGATGCCTGCCCAAGATTCTCTCTCCCTCCCTCCTCCTCTCCCTCTCTTTCCCTCTAAAAAAACCGAACAACAACAACAACAAAAACACCAAAATCAAATAAAACAACAACAAAAAAGCATTTCAGAGAATAAACCTAAAGATGAAAATTCCTTATGTTGAAATTTTCTTTTTATTCAGATTTCATAGCTAAAATTTAACTCTTAAATCAGAGATATGGATTTAAAGCACTATCTTTGTTCCATAAGAAAATGTAAGCCTTGGAAATTACTAAAGAGAATTGCCCCTGATAAAGTACAAGATTTTTTTCAGATTGTAAAAGTAATAAATGTTGTAGAAAGTTGGGAAAAGACAGCAAAACAGAAAACAAGAATTACCTGTAATTTTACCATCTGATAGTACATACTGCTAGTGTCTGGGTATAAGCATCTTTATAAATTTTGGATGTATTCATGTTTTTAAATGTGATTTTGGAAGAGAATTTTGTATTTCTGTTCTTTTAACAAAATTGGGAATCTTACAGTGTACTATTTGTACTGTATTATTTTCACTTGGCATTTTATATTCAGAGTTTTCTCACATCATTAACTATTCTTTCAACATAGCAAGTCTCAAAGTGTGATATAGGGACACCTGAAGTCAAAATTATGTTCATTATAATATGAAGACATTATTTGCCTTTTTCACTCTCATCTTTTCAGGAGTGTACACTGAAGTCTTCCAAAGTTTATATGATGTGATGTCACCTCTCTGATGGGTATTGGAATGTGTTCTTATGCTCCCATTTGTTTTTAAAAATGTCTCAGTTTTAATCTATAATATGATAAATACTGATAGATATATAACCCACAAAAAGAGAATTCTTCGAGGTCCACAATAATTTTTAAGCATCCTGGAGAGGGGTCCTGAAACCAAAAAGGGTAAGAAATGCTAAGCTCTTAGGTACAGAGCATTATTCTCTTTTTATTGTCTAAAAAGAAAAGTGGAGCAGGTTTTGGCCATTTGCTGAGGGTTCCTCAGCAAGTTGTTGGCTGAGTCAGGAGGAAACATTTACCTCTTTGTTTCTAAATCCCAAACTTTTAAAGATTTATTTATTTATTTATTTGAGAGAGACAGAGAGAGAGAGAGGGGTAGGGAGGGGCAGCAGGAGAGGGAGAGGTGATCTTAAGCAGACTCCCCACTCAGTGCGGGGCCCGATGCAGGGCTTGACATTGGGCTCAATCCCACCACCCTGAGACCATGACCCAAGCTGAAACCAAGAGTTGGATGCCCAACTGACTGCGCCACCCAGGTGTCCCAAAAGCCCAAACTTTTGAATCCCAGGTCAGAACTAAGCCACCCTGTTTTAGTAAGAAGGTAACAAGGTGTAGTGAAAAGATAAGCATTTTAAGAAGATAGTGAGTATATATTTAACGTAAATAGAGGTTCATGAGTTTTAAGGAGACTATTACTGAAGTATAACATGCATTCAGAAAACACACAAACCATGAATTTTCACAAAGCGATTGCCCCTATGTAACCAGCACACTGTTCAAGAAAGAGCATGTTATTACTAGCACCTAGAAGCCCGATACCCCTCTCTTCAAGATACTACTATTCCCTCAAAATAACTATGATCCAAAATAACTATGATCTTCAAGATACTATTATTCCCTCAAAATAACTATGATACTACTATTCCCTCAAAATAACTATTTCTACATCATCAATTAGTTTTGCCTAAAACTTACATAGTTTTAAAACGTGTAGATGAACAGAATCTGGAGCCATAAGACTTGGATTCAATCCCTGATTTTTGGCTGAATGATCTTGGACAATTCATTTCAATTCCATAAAAACATTTTCTTTTCAGTAGAATGGTCAGAAAGACACGTCATAACCTCAAAAGGTTGCAGTTTTACAAACCTGCCTGATGGTAAGAATCATCTGGACAAATAGAAAACCAAGAATCTCTAAAGCAATGGTTCTTATAGGACTAAACCATCAGCATTACCTCAGAACCTGTCAGAAACACAAATTATTGAGCCCAGACTTCTTGAATCAGAAAGATTCAAGATTCAAGATACCCCTTGGGGAAGGAGAATAATAATCTCTATTTCAAAAAGCCCTTGGGAAATTATAATGCTCAAAAAAATTGAGAACCAATGTACTAATATAAAATTTTTAAATGGTATAACCCATCATTTGAGAAACCAATTTAAGTGATTCCATATTGTTAGATTTTTAAACTATTTCCAATTTTCATTATCAAATATAATGGTATAATGAACATATTTATCCATCAATTTTCACATACAGTTTCTTAGGATAGATTCCTAGAATCTATGTGATATCCTAGTCTAATTAATTGATCAAGGATATAACGTTTCTTTTTTTTTTTAAAGATTTTATTTATTTATTTGACAGAGAGAGAGAGAGAGAGAACAAGTAGGCAGAGAGGCAGGCAGAGGCAGAGGGAGAAGCAGGCTCCCCGCTGAGCAGGGAGCCCGATGTGGGGCTCGATCCCAGGACCCTGGGATCATGACCTGAGCTGAAGGCAGCGGCTTAACCGACTGAGCCACCCAGGTGTCCCTGGATATAAACGTTTCTAAGGCTCTTCCTGCCAACCTGCCCCCAGAAAGATTCTTACAAATCACATTATCATAGCAGAACAAAATACTCCAAACTAAAAATATTTAGTTAGGTACTCAATATTGTGCAGTGTTATCAGCTTCCAAGGCCATTACATTTGCTTTACCCAGCACCTTTTGTACTCAATTTTAATTCTTTATCTTGCTGGTTAGTAATGATGATGATAAAAATAATACATAAATTTATTAATTTACATGTGTGTTAGGCATTACATTAAGTGCTTTATGGGAATTTCTGAATTACCATAAGAACTCCATGAGATGAGAATTATTATAATCTCCATATATAAATGAAGGTAAGGTAAAAAGACATTTCCCAAGATCACAGAGCTACAAATAGAGAACAAACTCAAGAAGTTTGACGAGAGGTTTTTTTGTTTGTTTTTTTTTAACAAAAGCCTGTTTTCCACGAAAGCAGGAACCAACACTCTCTACCGTATCCTCAACAATTAGCACAGTGCCTGGTATCTAACAGACATCTAATTAATACTTGTGAAATAAATGAAGATATCTGAATAGTCAATTTCTTTATGCCCATCATTTTGATAAAGCATAATATAAAAATTATTCTATTTTTTTACTGTAAATTGTATTTAACTTTTGTCTCTTTGGTTTGGATTCAACTAGTCTTCATGCATAACACAAAGGTCTTTCAATTTAGTGATGGATACCAAAATAATTTTATGTGTTTTATCACACCTTAAAAACCAAATAAACATATATGAATAATAAGCAGAATATTTGACATTACTATTTTGATACTATTGAGTTATTAACATTTTCTATTATTTATACTTCATAAGATACCTAAACTCTCATTCAGTTAAAATTTTATATTTATTTACAAAATACATTACAGATTTTGTGGGAAATTGTGTTTATAACCATCAGCTTTTTCCTTTTTGACTGCTCAGAGTTGGACCTCATCAATTTCTTCTATGAAGTGACTGATCCAAAATGTAGCAAAAAAAATAGGACCATCTTCAGAGAAATAATATGAGGTGGAGCAAGATGTAGGAGAAAGGCAAAGAGAGGGTAAGGCAGGAGGAGAAAAAGAAGGAATGAGAGAACAAATTTGGTTTAATAAGAAAAAAAGAATAAGTAATTTTGAAGTTTTAATAAAATTTAACATTGGAAATTATAGCAATACAAGTACTGCAGAGAGATGCCTTTTAGAGACAGGGTTTTGTTTTTGTTTTGTTTTTTGAAACTACAAATCTTATCTAGTTTTCATTCCACTTCCTTTAAAAAAAAAAGGTTTTTTCAGTTTTATTGAGGTAGAACTGACAAATAATCATTGCATATATTTAAGGTATATAACAGAGGATTCTTTTACATATGGTCTATCACAATCTTTTTCCAGAGTAACAAGAATTGCATATTGTGCACTAGCTTTTGATAGATAGCCTGTTAGAAAGCCTTCATAAGTCTTAATTAAATTAATTTCCATTTATTTCTATATAAACATTTATAAATCCTTTTTGATAATATTTTGAACAGAGCTCAAACTAGAGCTTGAAAGTTGGAAAAGTCCGAAAGAGCATGCTTTCTCGTTTTTTTTCCTCTATTACTTTTTCAAATTCCTTCCCTTTACACATGAAAAAATAAAATCAGTGTTAAATACATGCTCCTTTATCATGGTAAATATAGCCTGTTTAAATCCAGTTTAATTTAATCAGGTAATTATCACTTTCATAAATATAAGAATTCAAAAACTAAATTTCTAGGGTATAAAAAATGATTTTTCATGGATAACTATAAAATCAAAATCACAATAAGGAATTTGTAATCTCCATTTATAAATGAAGAAACTGAGGCACACAGCTAGAAAGTAGAACAGAGATTCAAATCCATATAAGATATGAGATGCCTAGGATATAAAACTGTAAATTAAAATAAAATTCCCTTATGTACAATCACAAATTTCAGTGTTGAAAACAGGATATATATATATATATAAAATATATATATAAAAATATATATATAAAAAATATATATAAAAATATATATATATAAAAATATATATATATAAAATATAGCTTCCCAAATATTTCAATTACTACGAGGGAGGAAAAAAGGAGAAAAAGTAGTACAGAGAAGAGAAGTGTAATTTTTGAAAAATATAATTCTATAATCTTTGAAAATTGAGGAAAACGCCGTATCAGAAGAAAACACAGAAAAATGAAAAATGTAAATTTAGGTGAGTGGATGATTATTTTTTTCTTTAAAAATTTTCTTGGGCATTAAAATATATTTTTTAAAAGATTTATTTATTTATTTTAGAGAAAGAGAGTGCATGCATGCATGCATGTAGCCAGCTGGGGGAGGGGCAGAAGGAGAGGGAGAGAGAGAATCTCAAGCAGACTCCACTGAGCATGGAGCCAGATGCAGGGCTCAATCTCATGATCATGACCTGAGCCAAAATCAAGTCAGATGCCCAACCCACTGAGCCACGCAGGCACTCCTGGCATTAAGATATTTTTATAAGACATAAAAATGTCAAAAGATTTATGATTCAATTAAAATATACATTTGGTAGCTATATTTTTAACAACCAGGGAGGGTATATATTACAAGTTTTGTTACCTGTTAACTATTCTTATAAATTGTAGAAATCAATAAGTACTAATTTTGCTATTCTGTTATTATCATTCATAAATAATGATTAACACAGATTTTAAAAATTCTGTTTATTCAGAATATAGTTTAAAAAAATTTGTATCACTCACTTGATTGGCTAGTTGTAATTGTTCTCGTAGATTCCTAACTGTTTCATCATCTGTATATATATCATTTCCCATGTCTGTGCCAAAGGGAAGGGACTCCAGTTGCTTTTCAACAGCATCTTTTAATTCACTGTGCAACCTTCAGAAAAAAGAGTTAACACAGTAATAATATAAATTCATTTTACCAACAGTAATCACTGTTTCAAGGTAAACTAAATAAACATTTGGGCACCAAAAACATTCTTTAAAAAAAATTTCTTACACAAAAATAATTTTTAAGTAGACTTCAAAAATTAAATAGTTAATCACCATTAAATACTGTGCTATGAAAATAAAAATATAACAATTTCAAATGCATTAAATTTGTCATAATTAATTCAACCATAATTCAGTTTGTCCTAAGGAGATTTTAGTTATTCAAGAAGGTAAAATTCAGATATTACACCCTATTAATTTATGAAACAGGCCATTCAGGAAAAAAATATAACAGTGGTTTTCATCTAGGCAATTAAAAGGAAATGGGATATAAAATATTATAGAATTATTTTCTTCATTGTGTTTCACAAAACTCAGGTAACATCTCACTTAATCCAATTAATAAAAAGAGTTGAATAAAACTGTTGGTTATGAAAGCAAGATGATTAGAGGCTTTAGTTTTCAGCATATTTTAAATAAGCTTGACCATAACTCTGAAAGCCTTAAATTCAAAATTAATCTTAACATTAAATTACAGGTATTTTGTATTTTAAAACAGCTACCAAAAGAAGGCTTTAGAAAGTACATTTGAAAAGACTGATTAAGTATTTTACTTTAAAATGATACAAACCTAAAAGGAAAAAAATATTTATAGTATCAGAAAAACTTGAAAACCTTTAATGTATAAATTATTAGCAGAAAATGTTATTTATAATAAACACATCTCAAGGTAGTTTCGCAAAGAAACTGCATCTATATATTTAAAATAAAGAGAATTAGGGGCGCCTGGGTGGCTCAGTTGGTTAAGCGACTGCCTTCGGCTCAGGTCATGATCCTGGAGTCCCGGGATCGAGTCCCACATCAGGCTCCCTGCTCGGCAGGGAGTCTGCTTCTCCCTCTGACCCTCCTCCCTCTCATGCTCTCTGTATCTCATTCTGTCTGTCTCAAATAAATAAATAAAATCTTTAAAAAAAAATAAAATAAAATAAAGAGAATTACCTACTGTATTTAAAATCTCCTTTGAAACTAGATAAATTCAATTTTAATTTTTAGAATATATTTATTGAAAACAAAGTTCATCAAACACATGAAATTCATAGGTAATTAACCTTAGAAACAACAAAAAAAATAATTACTCCCTAAGGAAAGGACAGAGGTTGCTAATTATTCCCTAGTTAAAAATTTTATCAATAACACAAATGTTCATATTTTAAAACATTTCTAGTATTTTTATTTTTTTGTTTTTATTGTTTTTAATTTTAATTCCAATATAGTTAACATACAGTGTTATATTAGTTTCAGGCATACATCAATTCAACAATTCTATACTTCACCCAGTTCTCATCACAAGTGCACTCCTTAATCCCCATCACCTATTTCACCCATCCCCCCCAACCACCTCCCCTCTGGTAACCATCAGTTTGTTCTCTACAGCTGAGGGTCTGTTTCTCGGTTTGTCTCTCTTTTTTATTCCCCCACTTTGTTCATTTGTTTTGTTTCTTAAATCCCACATGAGTGAAATTGTATGGTATCTGTCTTTCTCTGACTTATTTCACTTAGCATTATATTCTAACTCCATCTAAGTCATTGCAAATGGCAAGAGTTCATTCTTTTTTATGGCTGAATAATATTCCATTGAATGTATGTATACACACACACACACACACCTTCTTTATCCATTCATCTATTGATGGATGCTTGGGCTGTTTCCATAATTTGGCTATTGTAAATAATGCTACAATAAAGATAGGGTTGCATGTATCTTTTCAAATTAGTGTTTCTGTATTCTATGGGTAAATACCCAGTAGTCTAATTACTGGATTGTAGGGTAGTTTTATTTTTACTTTTTTGAGGAACGGAACTTCCATACTGTTTTCTACAGTGGCTATACCAGTTTGCATTCCCACCAACAGTGCACAAGGGTTCCTTTTTCTCCACATCCTTTCCAACACTTGCTGTTTCTTGTGTTTCTGATTTTAGCCATTCTGACAGGTGTAAGGTAATATCTCACTGTGGTTTTGATTTGATTTCCCCGATGAGGAGTGATGTTGAGCCTCTTTTCAGATGTTGGGCATCTATGTCTTCTTTGGAGAAATATCTGTTCATGTCTTCTGCCCATTTTAAATTAGATTATTTGTATTTTTGGTGTTGAGTTATATAAATTCTTTATATTTTGAACTGTTTAGCAGATATGTCATTTGCAAATATCTTCTTCCATTCTGTAAGCTGCCTTTTAGTTTTGTTGATTGTTTCCTTTGCTATGCACAAGCTATTTATTTTGATGTAGTCCCAGTGTTTTATTTTTTGCTTTTGTTTCCCTTGCCTCAGGAGATCTATCTAAAAAGAAAATGTTGCTATAGCTGATGTGAGAGACATTTCTGCCTATGCTCTCTTCTAGGATTTTTATGGTTTAAGGTCTCACAGGTAGGTCTTTCATCCATTTTGGATTTATTTTTGTGCCTGGTGTAAGAAAATGGTCCAGTTTCATTCTTTGGCATGTAGCTGTCCAGTTTCCCCATATCATTTGTTGAAGAGACTTTTTCCCATTGCATATTTTTTTTTTTAAGATTTTATTTATTTGACAGAGAGAGACACAGTGAGAAAGGGAACACAAGCAAGGGGAGTGGGAGAGGGAGAAGCAGTCTTCCCGCAGAGTAGGGAGCCCGATGTGGGGCTCGATCCCAGGACCCTGGGATCATGACCTGAGCCAAAGGCAGACACTTTACGACTGAGCCACCCAGGCGCCCCTCCCATTGCATATTCTTACCTTTTTTTGTCGAAGACTAACTGACCATATAATAATGAGTTTGTTTAAGTATTTCTGATATTTGAAAAAATATTTACTTTATAACATAAAATATAATAAGAGTTTTAAAAAAGACATCCCAAGTCCCAGAGAAAAACCATTATTAATGGTGTGATATATTTTCTAGCAGAATTTTTGCTCTCCATTAAAAATAGACAGATATACCATATTGCTAATATTTTATAACCTGCCTTTTAAACTGTATTACTGAAACATACACATTCTTCCAGATTATAAAATATTTTCCTATAAATACTTTAATGATGGCATAATATTCCATCATTTCCATTATACAAAAATTTGCATCAACTCAGGTAAACCCCCTAGAGTCATTTTAAAATGAAATGAAAAAAATAGTGAAATTAATATTCACTTAGTATACTAAAAACATTAGAAACATTGAGAATTAAAATGTTTTATTTCTTTGTAAAAAAAAAAACTCATTGCTTATAATCAACAGTACAGTTATAAACAACAAGACAATTAGTATTTTTGCAAAAATTTTTAAAGGTCACAGAAAAATCGTAATTTTCATCCATTGATTATTAAGATCACTTTCCACAGTTTCAGCTTGCATGGTCATTTTTAAAGTCCTGCACTATCAAACACAGCAAGGACTACCTATGTATAGCTTATTTTTGTTTTAGTATCTTAAGTACTTAGGGACAGGGTGTCCAATCTTACAGTTTGCAATGCCTGCTGACTCTTGCCCAACGTGCCCAGATTCCCCAGGTGTTTTATAATTTTGGGTTAGTTTACTGTCCTTTTTCTGACCTCTTTTGCAAATTCTTAGAGATCACTGATTTTTAGACTTTCTTTTCTAATAATGCAGTTAAGACTTTGGATTTCCCTCTAAGCTGTAAGCTTTATTGATTTATTTTCATTATCAACCAGTTAAAAGTATGCTCTAATTTTTCACTGTTAATCCTTTGACCTATAAGTAATATTTAGAAGTTGCTTAACTAAAGAACAGTTGGGGATTTTCTAGTTACCTTTAAAAAAATTGATTTCTAGTATAATTTTCACTGTCATCAAGGAACATAAGCAGAGTAATTTTGAGATTTTAAAAATTCCTGAGTTACTTTTTTGAACTGGTTAATTGTGGAAATATTATATGTGTACTTAGGATGGCTATGTATTCTGAAGGTAGTAGTATTCAATATGCGTCCCTTACAGATTTGTTAACTGCATTGTTCAAATATTACATACTCTTACTTTTTTTTCTGTTTTTTTCAAATTACTGAGAGCAATCTGTTTATATTTCCTACTATCACAGTTTTTCTCTGCGGTTTGGGGTGCCTTTTTAAAAATTCTTGTTATAGGGACGCCTGGGTGGCTCAGTCTCAGTTAAGCGTCTGCCTTTGGCTCAGGTCATGATCCCAGGGTGCTGGGATCGATTCCCGCATTGGGCTCCTTCCTTGGCAGGAACTCTGCTTCTCCTTCTGCCTGCTTCTCCCTCTGCTTGTGCTCGAGCTCTCCCTCTCTGACAAATAAATAAAATCTTTTAAAAAAATTCTTGTTATATTTATGTATTGGTCATTTTTCTCTTATTAAACATTTTCTGTCAGGAAAAGTAAATATTTAAAAAATAGTATAACATATTTAAAAATAACCTGTTGTTATTGATACTTTTAAGTACTTCAAAAAAATTTAGTCTGTCTTGCCACTCAGTGCTATAATTGAATTTTTTGATTCTAGAAGAACAGAAAAATTGAAAATTTTCCATTCTGAGCCTTTGTTATTGAGTGCTCACAAATTTAAAACTGTCACATCTTTTGGGAAAAATGAATGTTTTGTCATTATGAAATATTCCTTTTTATCTCTAATAATCTGTTCTGCATTAAAGTCTACTGTGTCTGACATTACCACCTTTCTTTTGGTTAGCACTTGCATGGTGTTATCTATTTTCCATCCTTTTATCTGCATCCATTCTATATTACATTTTAGGAATCTCTCTGATAAGTATATACCATAACTGGTTTCTTTTTTTACTCTCCTCTGATACATCACTTTTAATTGTAGCATGTAATACACTGAAATTTAATATAATTACTGATATATTTGGGTTTATATCTACTACCTTAGTATTTGTTTCTATATGCCGTGCCTATTAGGATTTTCTTTACTTTCATGCTTTT